TTCTTCTTGGACAAAAAATGCCTGTACGCGGTGGTCTCACCGTCAGAACTGTAATTCAATTGATGAATGCATTGCTCTGTGATTGGTTGGGAAGAGAACACGGCACTTTCAGCTCAAACGGAGCCCCCCAACAGTGTCGGAGTGCAGCGACAAGCTTTTGGACAAGTTCTTCACCTCAGAGTTGAAAAAAGACGAAGGACTGCGCACACTTTGAAAATCAAACAGTGAACAGTAACGGGAAGGCTATTAAAGGAACCAAATGAACAGTGCGAGCGGCGAGCGCTTCTTCAAGGAAGCTCCCCTCGCCCTGAGGCAGGTGGAGTTTCCTTGAAGAAGCTTGAGCTATCCTGCGTCCTACCTAGGAGCTAGGAGCTAACTTAGCCCTTACTTAATTATTATATAAGTAAGTAGGTAGAGGGGCAGAACGGCCTTCAAAAAAAGGATGTTCTGGAAAATGATGATAATCTATGATAATGATGCAAGGACTTTGAGTCAACTCTGAGTCTTTGCATGTCTTGCCCTTCCCCCTAAAACACAGCAGGACTAGACGTCGTGTCTTACAGGTGCTTGAGTACCCAAGAATAACATAGCATCACATTGAAATTATTCCAAGGTGTATATATATATATATATTCCCAACTATTCCCACATCACATGCATTTTCAACACATCTTCCAGCATGTCAATGTTCAACAGGCCTTTCTCATCCTTTCTCCACATGCTTGTTCAAGCCCCAGGATGTCAAATCCTCTTGACATCTTGAACTAAGGGAGGTCACATGTGACATATTAAGGCACCGCCGTCGTAAACCACCGGAAATCGGTCGTCTCTTGGTGTCACACCTGCTTCTCTTTGTCTTGTGCAAGACCATCTGTTCGGTCCTCCAGAGCAAACGGAGGCACGACAACAAGTGCGGCCAGTCTGTGCATGAAGTGCTAATGCAACAGGGTGGACAATTCTTGAGTTGGAGTAAGCTAACCTAACGACGGATGTTGTGGCTTTCCAACCCAAGCCATCAGGCAGCCAAGAACAAGGACGATGATGCAACTGATGTCCACCAAAACCCATGGCCTGGCCTGGACTTGCAGCATGGAGGAACCCTGAAGCAAGTGCTCGAACTCTGATTTTGGTTCGGTCAGTGTATTGAGATCCCTGCTTAGCATTGAACATATTCGAACATCTTTCAGCTTTGCCATAAACTAAACTCGTTCTTAGAAAATCAGCATTTGAGCAAGTTAGTGATCTTAGCGCACAAAGTCTGGCCCCATCTCGGTCGGAAACCTTGCGAGGTACCGGCGCGTCCTCGGACCAATGTAGTTGGACTGCACTTGGTAAATCCGCGTTTTGATTCCGTTTCAGCCCAAAAAATATCGGAAAATCGTAAAATGCTTGTAGCCATCCAATGGGGTAAGAAACTGACTAGACCATCTGCGAGCACATTGGGCTTAGGATCTGACACTCCTACTTGAGAGACGGCCAGTTACGTTCCATGAGGCAGGCACCGATGTCAAGCGTATCGAGCCTGGGCAATTCCAAGGAGCAAACGCAAGAATTCCAAGGAGCCAAGGCAAGAATTCTAATGCAAAGGAGTCTGCCCTGCAGTCAGTTGACTCTTGACTCAGTAACTCAGTAATTACCCTTGAGTGGCCTTGGGCCAGTTGTCCCAAACCTGCCAAAAGATGAAACATCAAAACATGTTCAGACCATGTTCCCTCAAATGCGGCAGAGAGGCGCAAGAACTCCTCCGCCTTGTCACTTGTATGGGCCTTCCGTACCTCTGATGCGCCGAGCAAAAGCACGACTGGGTGAGGTGGCAAAGAATGCCAAGTAAGGAAACCTCACAGGCTCCCTGGAAAGAACCCGCAAAATGGACCAAGTGACCATGCTTGCCATCTGCTTCTCCTCTGCTTCTTCGATCTCTCTCAGCTTCTGCCACACATCAATCTGCAAGGCCGCTGCTTTGCAACCCACAAAGGTGATTGCAGACTTGCAATCAGCCCGCTAGCCAAACTGAGGATTAACACATAATTACAGTAATATACAGTAAACAATTTGCTTTGACTCTTTGATTGGAAGTGCAAAGATCAACTGGAACGGCTGCATTGAAGGAAAGGAACCCCTTTTCGCCCGCAGCCCACCTGGAGCTTTTGAAATGCCTCGTGTTCCTCTTGAAGAAAGCCGTTCCGGCCCTTCCTTGATTTGCTAAGCTGCATGGAAGTCCGCACCTGTGATATTTTGGTTCTGCGCTCTGTTCCGTTTGTTGGTTGAGGCCCTGGGACCGGCGCAAATCTTTCGCCATCACTTTGAAAATGGCCAGAAGTGCCTGCCACTTGGTGCAGCGTGAGAGCGTCTCAGCCATCACGTGGCCTTCTCCATGAAGATTGAGGTCAGTCTATATCTGTCTATTCTCACAATTTCTAGTAAAAAAAACATTGCCCACAATGTTTGATTAGTCCACTTCCTGTGGAGTTTCCAATCGTCTGTGACAAACTCAAAATTGTGGTGCAACCAAGCTTCAGCGCATTCAATAACACTCAATACATTTGTGGTGTCATTTCAACCTGGAGTTCTTTCTTGGGTCTGGGCATCCCTCGCACCTAAACGCAGTGGACAAGAATCAAGGTAAAAATAGGTAAAACCATGTCCAATGTCCACCAAAGGACTCCGTACTTACTATCTATAATCGTATAATCAATGCTGCCTCCTGAATGAAACCTAAAGGTATTTCTACAGCGTCTGCTTCCCTACCATCCCGTATCGAGGCTACTGCCTTCTTGCCCAAGGCTACTCTCACCCTTGGAACCCACCAAAGTTCAGAGCTGCTTGCGGCCTTGTCAAGCAAACTCACCATTTTGGAGGAGCAAAACTGCCTAGGCCACACACACGACATTCGACTCATTGTGAAGTTCATCGAATTCCATGTGGATTCGACAACTTCTTACATAAGATGCACATCGGAGTCTTTTCGGGATCCATATGGCAAACTATAGCAATAAGCTCACTAAGCCAAGTGACTGCATGCCCTTGAACTTTGTCAGCATACTTTGAGTCACTGTCGCCGCCTTGCACACAATGCATTGTCTCACGCCACCGACTTTGTAAATTCAACTGGCTAGAGGCGAATGTGTAGCGATGGCCATCGAAATTGCAGTGCATGGTGTCTTTCCAGAGCTCTTTTGAGAAAAGCGATGTGAGCTGACATGTGACATGTGGGTGAACTGGCCCTCTTTGATTGACTCAGGCCGTCGCCATACCCACCATGATGGCATAGGGCAACAGGTCGGCTGGCCGGATCAAAGATCCGAGGACCACCCACATCAACGTCTTGGTGGTCACAGTGCGTGTCGTGCGGAGGGGACCAATGGCTTACCAACAAAGCTGTGCCAAAAGCTTGAGAAATCTTGAGAAGTTACCCTTGTCAAAGCAGGGCCAAAGGAACAAGCAATGTTTCTTGTTTGTGTTGTGTCATCCACCCCGCAATTTGATGCAAGGTGCATTTGTGACGAAGAGGATGAAGGCGGAAATCAGCACATAGGTCACGCCTCAATATAAAGATCAATAAAGTATATACAGGTTCCAGGTTCCAGAAACTTGCAGCAACTCCGGCAGCTCCCAAAGTTAGTAAAGATGGATGGCTTGAAGAAGAACACCACCAGCTGCAAAAATCGGTGCAGTGCTCTAACTCTTCATCCTTGAGCCGGTGGGGTCTTTGATCCACTTTGATCGGATGACTGACCCCCTTAAAGCCGCCGAGATCGCCAAGTGACATCGGATGGCATGATCGGCATAGCCAAAGAACCTGGACGGGCTGCTCAATCGAGAAACAGTGTTGTGTGCTATCAGGCATTTGTCTGGGAATGAGCATCCCTGAGGCCAAGCTTTCGAACGCAGGCTTTAATCTAACGGCTTAAATCCAACATGTGCGCACGTGTCGCCAAGCAGATCGTCGCCAAGTCACGGCTCGAATGGCTTCAACCTCGGAATGGATCTCAGCACCATGCCTTGGCAAGCGCGTGCATAGCGATGACGCAAAAAAAAGGTCTGAGATGGGTCAACGGGACGTCTGAAGGGTTTATTCTGCAAAAATCCCAGGCGAATCTGAAGAGAGAATTGAATATATACTCAAACCAACTTCTCGTGTATAGAATATACTGTATATGCACTAACTAGGCGGACGCTTTCTGTTTAATACTCCTTGAGGGCTCATCTACCCCCCTCTCGGCGGGGGACCCCCCCCCTTCGGAGCCTTTCCGAGCCATTCAATCCGAGCTGCAGTACGCAATGGTGGCACCAACGAGGAAAACATAAAGCACAGCAGCACCTGTGGGTGGTGAACATGGCTCATGGTGGCGGTGGCCCGTGATGGCTCCATTCACAAGTGATACATTGATACATGTGAGCAGTGGCAGCTAGTCGCTGCTAGTCATGTTCATGTCCAGGTGCTTCTGTCTGCGGTGGGCGTGGGCTACACTGAGATAGGCTACAGCAAGTCCCTTCTTTGAAGCTGTTCCCGAACAACATGTAAGCAGTGGTCTTCCAAGTGTGCCTTTGCATGTGTCCAGGCTTTCGCCAAACTGTTGCAAAACGATTTAACCCCATTTCAGCTCCTGATGGGCATTGGCCTTAAGCCATCTTAAGCCCACAAGGGGCGTCTTCCCCGACCTTGAAGGATCTGCATCTCCAAATCAAGGCTCCAAAAGCGGAAGAAGGAAGGAGCCACGATGAAATCCAACCTCGGCCGCACGGGTTTGGAAGTGAGGCCCTAACAGGATGGAATGAAGACACACAAAGAGAGATGGATGGACCCCCGGCCCGACCGTGAGAAAAACAAAATATCTTCACAAACAACCATGGGCAGGTCGCTGGGCAATCAATGTGCTGTCTGGTGCAACGTCAGTCCGTGTAACCCTTTGAGCGACGTCAGTCCGTGTCGCCCGTTTGACATCGGTCGCTCCGTCGCTCCGTCGCTCCGTCGCTCGTCCCAACTCTAGGGCTCCCTGCAGGTAGTGATGTTGTCCAGCATCCCGCCGAAGCAAGTCTGCTCTGACAGCTGCATGAACTCCATCTTGACAAACAGCCTGGGGTCGGTGCTCTTCTATGGCATCCTTGTGCTTGTTTAGTGAATCACATCCACTGCAGAGTTGAGTTTTATAAATAAATAAATGTATGTGATACACCCGACTGACGGGAAGAGAGTTGAAGAGACTGATCATGCTTGTTCTCAGAACAATGGACTTCCATCGCACGGACACTCGCGGAAAAACAAACAGCGCCTTGCAAGATATATAAGTTTCAAAATGATCATCTATCGGATGCAATCTTTGCGACAGGTGGGCGGACATTAATATTTAAAGTACCCATTCACCCACTCACCCATGCACGCATGCACTCACCCACGCACGCACCGACCCAACAACGCACTCACGCACTCACCCATACAATATACAACATATCTCGGATTCACGTCGTCATTGGGCTGAGTCCAAGTCACAAAAACCAGCACGAGGACTACTGGCATCACCACAGCGGCCTAGGTCGCAAAGGCTGGTGAAGTCTGGAGTTCATATCTTGATCGATCCTGGTTCCGCAGGCCATGGAACAACGAAGCCTTCTCATCTTTGATCCGGCACGCAGGTTGTTGCAGCCCACCCCAGCTGAGTCATTGGCGATGTTCCCCTGAGCGAAATGTCGGGGGGAGCTTCATCAAAGGTGATCAAAACATCCCTCATAACTGCTTTATATAAATGAACCTGTGCAATATGCATCGATATGCGCGACAATTTTGTTGCCATTGCTGCGGGCTTCATTGCTATGCCACCCTGTCAAAAAAATGAGCCCTTTTTGAATGACAGGGAAAATAGGGAAGTCAAATGGCGAACTTGCAGGGCAGGACCCGAAGCCCGGATCTCCACAGACCAAAAGATCCAAGAGGCATAAAAAAGAAAGGTCAAGAAAACAGCGCGTATGCCTGCGGGGCGCGGTGGCAGGTTCTGGCGGTGGGTCAAGCATGCGGGACAGCAAGTCAGAATTGATTGATCATGGAAGGCCCTTCAAATTTGAAGGCAAACCCGCATAGGAAAACATGAAAAAAGAACACTCTAAGTGGGATATATAGGCCGATGATCTCACATCTAAACACTCAACAGTTTCCCTGAAGCCATGCATCTTGTGAGATCAAACCCTCAAAAAGTTTCACAACCATAAAACCAAAAGCTGAACATGTGTTTGTTCCTTGAGCTAGTAACCAGGTCACCCAACTCTCATCCTCTTTGATATTGTGTTTTGGCTTGGGTTCTATCGATATAAGGATCCGCGCCCCCGCCGCCTTTCCCAAGAGTGCCCTTCAAATGTTCAAAGGGAAGGAACCGATACCTTCGCAAAAGGCACGGGTGGGGCATTTTGTGCTTGAGACTCGTGCACGTTTGCAAGTGGAGGACTGTGAGGTAGAAGACTGGTGGCGGTGGAGATCAACATCCTAAGCGGCGAAACTAAATGTGATCAAAGGTTGAACTGAACTGAAACTGGATGAACCGGATGCTGTCCACAGGGCGCACTGAAGCAATGGATCACGTCCCCACTCATCACTGTGCCTATCAAATCTGGCGAAAGCCGCATGTACCGCAGCTGCCGTCACTTGCTATATGCTTCAATGGCACAAATGCCAGGGTCACGGCAAGGCTAGCATCGCCAACAAACAAGTGAGAGGGCAAGTGGGACCCTTTGAGATGCACCTTTTCTCCCCGCAGGCAAACATGAATAAACAAATAAAGCACAATCTGAAGTCACCATATTGAGTCATTCCATAATTCGACGGCATTGGAAAAAATCTGTATAATTGTATAACCTGAGAAGGGAGGGGACGAAAGCAAGCCTGCGCGCTAAGGGGGGTGCTCTTAGGGTTAGGTTGGCGTTTACAGGCATGGCCGCGTGTTTTCGTTTTAGGTCACCTGGTACCCCTGAAGAGTGATAATTATCACTCCATTTTGTAATTATAAATCTTTTGGATAGTGGTGTGACAAAAAGCACTCCAGAGTGGAAAAAATCAGTCCAACCGCAATTGCGTTCAGATTGCGTTCGCATTGCGTTCACTTTGCGTTCAATTAACGTTCGCTTTGCGTTCAAGATACGTTGCGGAGCAACAAAAACCATTCTGGAACAACTATTCTCACTCCGGAGTGCTTTTTGTCACACCACTGTCCAAAAGATTGATAATTACAAAACGGAGTGAGAATTATCACTCTTCAGGGGTACCAGGCAGGGGTGTGTTAGAGGGCAGAGTGGAGAAAGAGTAGCCGGAAGTGGTGAAGTTGACATCGCAGCCACTCTCATCGGAGGCTGAAATGGAAAGTATAGTACACAGGTTCGGGGGAGGGTGCCTGTTTTCGTCGTGGTTCGGGCTCGTTTTGGAGGTGAAGAAGGGCACCCTGGAAGGAAGTGAGGGGTGGTAGCTTGCTGTGTAGGACAGATACCAATCAGTGAGCAAAAATAGTTATGGGGGGTCGAGGGGGCGATGTTATTCGGGAGAAGACATATATGTATATAGGTAGGGTGGAGAAAGAGTAGCTGGAAGTGGTGAAGTTGACATCGCAGCCACTCGCATAGAAAGAGAAACAGAAAGTATAGTACACAGGTTTGGGAGGGGTGCCCATTTTCGTCAAATGAAAAAGGGCACCCTCGAAGGAAGTGAGGGGTAGTAGCTTGCTGTGCGGTGCCGATCAATAGGCAAATCAGGATTTTGGGAGGAGACGTATATGTATATAGGTAGAGGGCTGGAAGTGGTGAGGTGGATATTGCAGCGGCATGCCCCCAACAGATGGCATCATGCACCCCATATGGGGTGCCCTTTTGCACGGATAAAGCCCCTATAAGCAATTCAAAGCCTTCCGCCTCCAAAGCGTGCGCGCTGCAATCTGTTCTCTCTCCTGCCCTCAACCCCCCAAGCAACTCAAAACCTTCCTGCCTTATCCACGTAAACTCCCACCGCATAGGGGACCTCACTAAAGCAGGGCGTCCCCAAGCAACGCCGAGCTTGCCCGCAACTGCAATCTGTTCTCTTTCCTGCTCTCAAGCATTGGAATTCTAACCACTCCTCTCATCCACGTGAAGTCCCACCCCTAGTAAAAACAGTTTACATGGTCTCTGAGCCCCTCATAATGCTGATGATGCACTCTTCGCCGTCAATTACATCACTTGCATCACAACACCCCAAAAACCATTCATTTTTCACTACCTCCGGGCCACATCTGTTTTTCGCGCTCCCCCACCAGGCTCTGGGTTAGCCTCTCTGAGATTGCCCCTCTCGCAACCACCCCCCCCCACACCCCCTTTAACTCACTTCCTTCGCACAGCTACCTCAAGCCTTGCCTATCGGCTGGCTTTCGTGATAATGTTGCCTATGCAGTGCTTGGTAGCATTTGCCGTGCAATCATATTGGATTGTTCTGAAGGTGCCATTGTCTTACCTATGAAGCTCCTAGCTATGTCTCTCTGGATTGGTGAACGGTCCTGACAGATCTGACAAGTTGGTCAGATCTGGCTCAGACACTGGCTCACTCACCGCTTGTCGTAGTCTCGCGATGCAACAAGATCCGCAAGAGCTGGGCACTCGTCAAGGTGCCCGCCATGCTGTTCAGTACCCGCTCCTCAGCGAGATTAGTGTGATGTGTAAAGCCACTGTGTACCAGGTCGTGGTGGGGTTCTCTGGTAGGAGCCACCCCCCACATTTGGTGCCATACCTTGGTGAACATGCATTGCCTGTGGGGGATCTAAAGTTGATCTAACTCCCCACAGGAATTCTGAGTGAGCATCTGGAACTCCGGCATGTGGTCATCACCCCTCTTGAGCTTTGTGTCTTTGGATCTTGCAGCTTTCCTATGGGCCCAACAGCTTGCCTGAGATTTGGGATTGTTCCGCAACAAAAAGAACAACGACCGACCAAACAACCCAGTTGAACTGGACCGTGTGATGCCCAAAAACAACTCGGGTTTACATGGTGCGAGTACAAGATTTGTATAACAAGCACTGTTGTTTTCTTCATGCTTTGATTCGATCTCCGAATTGGAACGGAGCATTTCGCCCAAATGCAGCCATGAGTCGGGAGCAGGAAGTTCCAGAGGAGCCTCCTAGCAAGTTTCACAGATTTCGACCAGCCATAGCGTAGACATGAATTTGGAAAAGGGCCTGATAGGACCTGCACATCTATATACATTACCTGCCTTGTGGGGTAACTGGGCAGCTTGCCACCAAACATGTTCCAGGTCGCTATTCAGTTGGAGGCCGTTACTACCAGTCACAAGAAGCTACTAGTAGCAAGAAGCTGGTAGGTTGGAGACCCATCCCGACTGGACGCATCCGAAGGAGACTGCAGCTGAGTATCCAAGCAAGCAGCCAGCAAAGCGCTAAAGAGCTCTTCAATCCCCTCGCCAGTCCTTTCACAGCTCAACAACTGGTGAGCAGGTTTTAGCCTGTCAATACATTGTGCTTGGGGCAGTGTGACGCATTTCCTTGACTGCAAGATCCTCGTTCACATTTTCTGGGGGCTCTTTCCAAATCCAACCTACTCAATGGCGTTAGCATCAAAGCTATGCCGGGTTAAACTGCGGCGCCTGGCACTGCAAAGAGCAAACCTCAGTGCTACAACCAATCTCTTGAAACATGCTATTCATGATCTGCAGTGCTCCTGAAGGCTTAAGGACTATGATTTCTACCAGTGTAGGCTCTGAGACATGGATATGTCGAGATGATGGGAGCACACACCATAGAACAATAGACCAATAAACTGGGATCATCATTCGGAAGGAAAATGAAGGAAACAAACCTCTAATTTCAGCTTCACCTTCCAGAATCGAACCATGCGACGACCATGTGCTTGGTCCGAAGCCGGGGTAATCTTCAAAGGACAACTTGTAGAACTTATAACAGGGAACCCACAAAGTGACCCCAAAGCAAATGAACACGTTAAAACCTTGTCATCTATTTGCCAAACACTCTATAATTGATTATCGCCTAGTTGATAATAGCATCGGAAGAATGTCAATGTTGATTTGGGGGCCACAAGGCCACTTATTCCAATTGATTGATTTGATTGATCAAGGAGTGAATCGCGCTCTTCCTTAGGCCGCTAGGCTCGCTAGGCTAGGCCGCTGGATGTCGCTGGGGTACTCTGCGTTGGCCTCTTGAGCAACAGGCTTGAGCGCAGCGAAGGCCTGGCGCTGCTGTCGAGGAGTAAGCTTGTCCTTGGCCGTCGAGCCCGGCGTGGATCATGGTGGATCATGGCGGTCTGCGGAACACACCTCCAGCACCCCTTGTTGAAGCTCTGTGTAGCTGAGATCTTGGCATCTGGTGACTGCAGCCAAGCAAACATCACAACGGAGTCGGCACCAAAGTTTGCAATCGCTGAACCCTTCTCAGCCAGTGCAAAAACGTGTAACGTGGTGTTCCGAGTGTTGGGAAGATTGCCAGGACACAAGATTGTTTAAAAGACGTGCCCATCTCTTGCTGGAGTTCTGAGCAATGGCAAAAAATTGTAGGCTATATATATATAATACATACATGAAGCTACATTCCGAAGAGTCCCGCAAGCTCGATGAACATTGATCAAAGGATGGGTAACCAAAAGCACCGCTTGGTCACGGCTGGTCGGTGGAGGAGCATGGGATCAACTGCTGCGTTTGGTCCCGGTTCGCTGTGAAACGACACGCCCAACGACTCCATTGCCAAAGCTCAACCTGTAAGCCGCCAAGTCCAACGATTGTGCCGGGCCGCATCGACTCAGGGAGGAACATTGACAAAAAGATCAAAAAATACAAAAAGTTCTGCAAGCACTGGATAGACCCAGAGAAATCAGGCTGGCTGGCGATGTCATCAGATTCTAGACTAGGTTCATGTGGGAGGTCCATATCGTCAGAGAAATCGTGCAAACTTGCTGGTGGACCCCATGTGCTGAAGATCTCATCGAAGTCCCACCCGGCCGTTGCCCACCTGGGTCACTTCGCCCAGCAGGCGCCGGGCGTCCTCAGGACCATCGGAGGCCACGTCCAAACACACCAGCACGGCCTGGGCGGCCTTTAAATAGCCGGTGAGTGCCTCAGGCGAAGGGCGAAGGAGGTCGTGTGAGGTCGACTGCGTTGTATCGACAGTGTCTGTGTCTTCCGAGTCAAGCTGTGTGTGGACATGCATGTTCGGCCAACATCAGCCTGGGATGCAGTCATCACGAACTCACAAGGACTCTTCCATCTACACTGCACACTCAATAGATTCGTGGATCACGACTGAAACACTGCAAGCAATGCTTGGCTAGGCAATGTATACTTCATGTTATGCACCCTGAAATATGCTGAAATAGTGGCAATGACTCAATCCACCAAACACCGAAAGTGCTCCCTGCCTGCTGTCGGCTCAAACCAGAAGGCTCCCATATCCGTACGCGGCCCCGGGTGAAGGTGCTGGGCTGTGAGCGCATCTGCACACGGCTCACGCGCAGGTCGGTGCCCAGAAAGGGGACCTTGCCACATGATTGGTGAATGGTGAAATGGTCGAAGTCTAGGCTGAAGATGCCAGCATGAAGATGTTGCAGGAATTTGCAGGATGCCATTCGTTGATTCTTCGGATTCTAAAGGCAACATGGCAACACAAACTCCGCAAGAGGAGCCGTATTTACTGGTGCATCCGCTGAGGGAGAAAACAAAAAATCTATATATATATATATAAACGTTCATCCCCACCAAGCTGCCTTGTTCAAGCCTTCAGGCGGATGACCGGTGCAAAAGCGCTGAACCAGCCAAGTTTTACCACTTAAAGGGCTGCCAGTGACGAGGATTGCAGCTTGCCAGTCATGTGCTCCAGAATCTATTGCAGGGTCACCTGAAGGTCACTGAGTCCGTCAGAAAAATGCTCCACGAGTCCAAGGCTAAACGGCTAAACTTAAGAGCCTGTTGCGATCCATGAAAAAATCAGTGGTGCTGCAGTCCACAGACCCGTATTTAGCCAACATGCGCCAAACCTCAGCAGACATGTTCTGCTAAAGTCACTGCTATCCAAGCAAATCCTTCCATTCTGCGGCTGCCGCATTGCCAAGCGCCACAAAGAAGGCACAGCCGCCTGACTATAATGAGAGACAAAAAGGATCACCCTTCAAAACGTGCCATCTGTTATATGTGGCAATCAACTTCATCTTCAAGTTCTATACCCCCGTATGTCCCAAAGCGATCAGCTCAGTGCTAAGAAATCAAACAAGCCGGCCACTTATGACTTGCGCAGCAAGTCATACAGCAGTCACATGGAAATGGCCAGATTGAACAAAGGGGCTATCTATTTCCTGCAGAATTGGCGTGCCAATAGTAAAAACCAAGAAGCTTTGCACGATCGCTCAGGATATTGTGACAAGTAACCTCAGTCATCCAAAAGTGCAGTGCCTTAAGATGCCTTAAGTAGCTCCTAGATAAGGCCAACTGCCCAGCTTGGTGGGTGTGATGTCACGAAGTAGTTCGTGTAGTTCCACCTATACAAATGTACACGTCTTACATTCAATGGATGAAAAGTCTCGTTTCATCTTGTCAATTTGCGTTTGACCCACCGATACCCACTGCGCCACCGCCGTTTTCTCCACAAGTCACATTGGCGCCAAAGCTCCTCGCGGTCCAGGTCTTTCAGCTGCCGCGTCGTGGCCAGGAGCTGCCGTGCGGCAACACCTCGCCACCGATGCGGAGCGATGCGGAGCGGCGCAAAGCGATGCGAAGCGAAGAAGCATTGGCGCGAAGTGAGGCAGCTGGAGCAAGCATTGAAGCCCCATGGCGATAGACCATCTACACTCTACACATCTAATTAGTAATTTGATTGGCTCTTGCCTTTTCCTTGAAAGACTAGTTTAAAATAATTGTATGGATTATATGCAGAGTAGGTGCTCTCCCATGAGTTCGTCGTCCGAGTTCGTTCCAAATCCTGTCTATCCTTTCCTTTTTCGTGCAGGGCGCATGGTAGGAAGCCAAAGGCCACTGTCAGCAAGGCACCTCAGGTGGTGCTTCGCTGGCAGTGCAGCTTCAGCCAGGGAGAAGAGCACTCAAACAAAAAAGAGGCCTAGGGGCATGGTCAAAATGTCACGGTAGGGCTACTGTGACTGGGGGTGCGACTGGGTTACATGAGAGAATGAAACTTTCAGCCCGCAGTTCTCACACAAAATGAATGCCATGCGACCAGAGATCACAGCATCTGCATTTGCTGCCCCTCCATCCGCCATGACATCATCACTCAAGGAATGTCTTGCTTTGCCCGCAGACTCGTCTCACCATGTCTAGCATCCTCCAAGACAGTCCAACACGTCACGACGTCTGTGTCTTGCTCAACATGCAAGACAATGAGGCTTTCGAGGACACCCAGGTGATGGTTGGATTTGTGCTCAAAGTTGAAAGTGTGCCTCTAATTCTTGCCTCTTGCACTTATTTGGCACAAGCTGTTTGAGCTTTGCGAAAGGCCATTGCAAGAAGCTGTCATGCTTGAGAAGAGGTCTGTGATGCCAAGTCGCAGCTGTCATGTACCAGGTAAAGGTGTGTTTTGCTCCTGGAGTTCAAGGCCTACATTGCCTACGTAGTGTGCAGAATAAGAAATTCACCTGCAGTGGAATGTGGATCCTCATGAACGCTGGCTATGCCTGGTCTTTCTCATGTGGGCCATGCATGGCCTACGAAATCGACTGGCCAGGCGCGGCGTCACCTCCAGAAGATGTTTGAAGGAATCTTCATCGCTTGTCGATGGGGCACCTTGTACGCACGGAGGCTTCTGGCTGGTCCATACATCTTCCAACCAAGATGTCTTGCCGTCTTGGTCTTCCAGATTGCCCCTAGTTTTGACAGCGCTTGCACAAAGATGATCTGAGATGAAGGAACCAACAGGACTCAAACTCACAACATAAAATAAGGCAAAAGGAGATTCCTGAAGGCATCGTGGAAAAGATGCTACAGCGCATCGCCGGAGAGACTTTAAGCAACGTCTAGTGGACCAGCTTGGGCCCCCAAGCGAGTGTTCTGAACTTGTCCTCTTCTTCTGACACTTCCTCACCTTAAGCTCCACCACCATTTGCGAGTTGGGATTCATTTGCTTGTAATAGCCCCACTGCTGACCGTAGTTTCTTGTGAGGAAGCTCCGGTTGTGGTTGGGAAAGCGTACTGCCGTCAAGAGTCAAGAGGTGGCAGAGGTCCAGAGAAAAAAAAATAAAATATTACCAAACAAATCCACACCAAAGAGATCCAAAGAACCCAAGAACTGTTTGGACAATACTTTTTTACTTTTGTCAACAATACATATATCCTAGACATGGCTTTTGTGGGATATAGACAGTACAGCACTATATGGCAGTTGAATAGATGTTGCATTCAACAAGTGGCTTCCAAAACCATGTCCCATTCGACAGGGCAACATTTCCAGGTGCTGGGCTTGCTTGCAACAGTGGAGTCTCCATCGATTTGATTGATGCCTTATTAAAAAAGAAAAACTCAGCATCACCGTGGCTCGCAGCCAGAGGCATAAAAACACATAAAAACGTGTCTCAAACCAATCTCTGCCATCACTTAGGGCATCAAACTTCTGTTTTTGGTGGGTCCCAGAACATGCCGTTTGACACATTGGGTGGAGCGGAAGATTCAATCCTCGAAAGCACAAACGACGTGAAAAAAATGAGCCATCAATCTGCGTCTAAACGGACTGCTTTATGGCTGTCTCATTACAGTATTCCTGCCTGTCTAGCAACTCCCTTGGAGGATGATTTGCTTTCTCGAGATTCCTCCTGCAACGGCTGGCCCAGCAGCATCATTGACCATCTTTCTGTCTTTTTCGCTAGACTCTCCCTACATCACGCCCTTGAACCCAAATGCATTGCGCATCAGGGCCCCACAGCGATACAACTATATATATATAATTCTAAGCTTGTGCCATCATGGTGCAGAATATGCACCGCACAGTTTATGCCGGTGTTTGTGGCCTGTGATGTTGGCATGCCGGTCTTAGCACCCTAGTCCTGCATGGTCTTGGCATTCTGCAATCGCACCGGAGCCTGAAAGAGCCAAACTCTGGCAACTTTCAACAAGTTTGGTTGCAGCTATTTCATGACAGTTCGCACTGCAAAGTTGGCACTGCGATCCAGGGTGCTAAATGCAACCCGTCTACTGATACAAACAACTTGACTGCTGAGATCAAGAACCATGGCCTCCGGCACTATGGCGCAGGAGGACTGATTCTCAATGAAGACCTGCCAGCAGCTCAGGTTTTGGCTATATAAGTGCGCCAAGCCATGAGTTAATGAGGGCTCCAGCTGCATCACCTTCATTCAGAAAGCAATCGGAAGCCTGTTGACCCGGTCGCTTCGCGCTGAGGTTCCGGCGTTGCACCGGGGATGTTTGCGGGCTGCGGTGGCTACGGCCTGTGAGCAGTTGACAGACTGAGTTCGCCAAGCAAACGAAGGAAGGACAAAACACCTGGACTGAGCGAGTTTCAATTGTAAGGAAGAGACCGCAACTTGATGCAACATTGCAATATGATGTGAATCCTAGGGTCTGGTGGCTCAAGAATATGCCCCAAGAGCTGCATTTGGAAAAGGGCCAATTCAAAGGCCACCAAGGTCGTTTCCAAGTGGGATTCACGATATGTATATATGTATATATACTGTAAAAATATATGAATATATGTTATATGTATATGAATAATGATTTGTCTGGTTTTCTTCTCAGGATGAATGAACAGCATGAACTCACACACCCGTCGTGTAACAGCCTCCACTTCCAGCGGCACCGGCAGCGGTGCTCGAAGCCCACTGATCACATTGAAGGAGCGCTCCACCAAAAATATCTCAGGACCGGTCGGGTGAGAACCGAGCCATAAGGATTGGCACCGCTACCAGCATCTACTAGCCATAGCATGTGACAGTTGAGTGCGTCCGCGAGAAACATCACTCATAGCCAGCTTGCAACTAGAGTGTTAGAGTTCTTAAGGTTCGGAGCGTCATGCCTTTTCTGTGGGCAGACATCTCAACCTTCCAGGCACTCACAACACTCTTTACTAAGTCTTTCTCAAGTTCTTTCTTGATGCTCCCGAGCACTTGCTCTCTCTCCTACTCTCTCTCTCTCTCAGATAGCCTGACCCTGACCGGCACAACAAACCGAAAACGTCAACTCGCGGGGTGTCCTCTTCAGTCTCCCATCTAAGTTCAGGGCTTCTCCTGCATCCAGATTGGACTCAATGCGCTCCTGTCTGACGAGATGGGAAGAAACTAGTGTGTATATGTAAATATATATTATAGAGAGAGAGAGATGTAGAAGAATAAAGAATACACGTGAATACACTATATAGACTATAGGCAAAACCTGTACCATATGTATATATGGAATTATAGTGTATAAAGAGAGAGAGAGAGAGAGAGAGCCACCCCCCAAAAAGTATACAGCAGTTCGTGAAACACTTGGCCCAGCAATACTTGGTCACATCAAGGTGGACAACGATGGACGTGACTGCCGGTCAGGCGTGTCATGAAAGTGTCCGGTGCACGTATCCGGAAAAGTTGATCTCAAGACCCTGTAATTACATCAGAATCACCCTTGAACATGGAGTAGTGAGTAGTGATTGAGTAGTGTGGCTGCTTTGATTTGAGTCACATCTTCCGTGGGTCAGTAGGTCGCGAGAGCATCCAGTCCACGTCGAACAGGGCGCCCTGGCCATGGGAATTCCATTGCGCGAGCAAAAGCCTGCATAGCACAGCTCCAGATCCTCACCAAGGAGAGTGGAAGGTTTGGGGTGTTGTGATGTGCCCTGTCAGGGCAACACACTTTGCCCACACAAAAAGCTGCATCAGCCTTATCAGGTGGGCATGTGATCCTAAATTATCACAATTGGGGCTTTTGATGGTTTTTGCAAAGCCAAGTTTGTCTTGAGGAACCCTTCGTGGCCAAAATGTGCTGGATTTGGTACACAAAATGTAACATGCACGCATGATTTGAGAAAGAAGCTGTACACATGCTCAAGGGTTGCACTTGGCAAAGTGGGTGCAAGTGTGATCCAAATTCTTGGTGCCCCACTCTTGAACGCAACACATTCAAACAGCTCGGGAGCAGCATGCGAATTGCTCGCTCCCCGATCCCCCAACACAAACCACCAGCACAAGCGAACCTGCAAAAGCACTGGCCGTACAAGAAGGAATTGCCCACTGCAAGCGACCTGGATTTCACCGCGTCTTCGAAGAAAATACATTGCATTACATGATGAAACTTGAGGTGTTCCCCGAGCGATTTTTCTCCGCGATGTCTTGGACAAAGGGTCTTGTTGCACAAACTTGACACACAATGCTCAGGGATAGCCAGCGGTCGGCACTTGCTGAACTACATGCTATTGCTTCAAATTCCGTTTCATTCGGCTTTCGCTCTTCCCCTTCCATCGCTAAATCATCAGTACAGTATCTTAGTGTTGAACACCATCATCGAGGCGTAGGTCCCACTCTTTCTTCATCAGGCCACCAACAAGGCACGCACATAGGGGAGTCATCCTCCAAACCGGTTGCAACCAAACAAACCTTTGGCATACGAAAAAGAGAAACCAAACACAGCAAGCGTACCAAACCAGGCCTTTTCAACCAACTGTCTGTCTCCGAAAAACCGACCGGGATCATGTTTGCTCGGCAGACCGCATCGGTGGAGCCGTATCACCCCTTGGGCCCAAGCAATCTCATGGCTCCCGAGCGGCTTGGCCTGACAATTCGACATTCACACACTCACTGGCGGTCGTCCAAATCCATTCCAATGGGACCCAGATTCCCAATCCAACCCAAATGAGTCAAAATGAGATGAGTGTACACAAACCAATGAGAGCACACGAACCCATCCGAATATAAAGGAATAAAGGACCTCTTCTCAAATCGGCAGCCAAGATAGGTCCGATATCGGAGAGGTTGTGGAGACGACAATGTCTTTCATCCTCCAATTCAACATATTATATCAGTATAGCACCTCACAAGTACTGGCCTCCTTACTGGCTTTGTTTGAACAAGGGGTTATAAGCCAGAAGATTGACGACATCATACGCGTGTCAAGTTGACCCAAGAAGAAGCGAAAAGCAAACAGACCGGATGAACTGCTTTATGTGGGCTGACAGCTTCACAGGTTCGCATCGCTCTTCTTCTTATTCTTCTCCTTCTCTTCTTCTTCTTCTTCTATCCAAATGCTAAATCCAAGCGATCGCCGGTCTCTTGGTGCATCTTCAATACATTTGATTGAACATGCTCGAAGACTGAGACTGCAACAGCACAAAACGAGGACATGTGATCGAGTCTGTGGTGCGGGGGCAGTGCCGCTTCCCATGGCTTCGCGTTGCTTGGCTCTGCTGTGCCATCACAAGTCGTCCTCATCTGGGAGTAAGCCATCGCCCTCGCGTTTTGCGAGCTCAGGTGGCGTGTCTGAAAAGTCATGTGTGACCTGCAGGGACAAGTGGGACGTCCAATGGCAACTCCACTGACAAAAAGCAACTGACCACATTACCAGCACAAAACCCATGTACAGTAATCAATCTCAACAAAGAGCCTTCCCACCTCCTTCGACAAGAGTCTGGCATGGGCATGGGTGTGGGGTTTCATCAGACTTGTGCCAAGCCAACCTGGTAGCTACTAGTAGCTTCATGTTTATAGTAGCTACTTGCTCTTAGTAATATGGCCAGGAGCCCCTAGTTAGCGTCCTTGCTCTTAGTAGCGATGCCAGGAGCCCGTTCGTAGCTTCTTGTTACTAGCTCGAAACGTATCATCCCAGACCTTGGTGTGGAGCCACTTGGTCATGTCCTCGGGAGATCGATTTCCAACCTCAGCCGCTCTGCTCAGGAGCCGATGCTACGACACACGAATGACGAAAATGTCCGTGCATCGCTACGAGTAACACTTAATTCCACTTAGCATAATTCACCACAAGCATCCACAAGCTGTCCAGCGGTGGAATGGGCTGCGCAAGGCCACTAATAATGCTGACAGTTGGCATAAAGCTGGACCTGATCCTTGCGACCATCAGGAAATAGTGCAATGGTCGGATATCCGTGCACAATGCCTTGGATGCAACCCCTGATGTTCCGACCACAGAGGCCGAGTCTGAGCTTCACGACAGCCATCTTGATCTCAAACAATCTTAGGGATGTCATGGATGTAAAAACATGTCATGCTCGGCAGTCATGCACAAAGTGACACACCTGGGCTGTCAAAGCCCCGAAAACGATCCCAGCGATAGCCCAATGCCATGTTCGCCTCTTAATCCGAGATTCGCTTCAAAGGGCCCAAATCGTTTTGGGTGCAATCCATCTGCGAGACGACCAAGCTGGACACATGAGCCAAGCGCTTGGCCAACTCCTGCGGGTACGAGGACTAGTGTGAGGGAGTCACACGAATTCGGCACCCTTGGACACACACACACACACCACTATCAGACAATACCACCCAAGTGAAGAACAGTCTTCCACGCGATTTTCCAAGACCCCATGTGGGGATCGGGCCTGGAAGGACGTCAGACTGGAGATTGTGTTTCGTCATGGGCGACCGGGGTGTTCTTTCTGGGCAGCTTGGCCCAAATGCACATCAGAAATCTATGACAATGCCAGGAAACTTGAAATCTTGAAATCGTGGGAACTGGACACCCATCTCTTGCGGGAAATTGTGAGCAAAGACATATCACATATCCATCAGATCAGCAATGCGTGTGAAGGCGCCCAACAACAGTGTGACTATGTTGCTATGATGTTCATCCATGCCATATTCCAACCTTCGCCGATCATCGCATGTTGAGCATGATGAGTTGGACACTCGCATGTTGAGGCGCTTCGTGGATACTGCCACATATTGCTCATAAGATCTATAGGACCAAAGCTGATTGTAGGACATCTTCTCAAGACGACCCCGAGGCACCTGGTACTTGGGCTTGAACCTCTGGCAATGGCCGCACCATGGTGCAAAACAATTCACCAGCACATCTTTCCCGGACTCCTCGCGCACCGGAACCAGATCGAGCAAAACAGGCATCTCACAGTTTAAAAAAACATGTTTTTGTTGCAGTGACAATAAATGAAAACAGCCTGTGAAGGGCAATGAACCTCCTTTTCTCAAAACATTCGAGAACCAGCCATGTCCTCAACGGCCGCCTTCACAGTGGTGCCGACCAAATTACGCACCTGGGTTGCTCACATATCTCACATACACCGGTTAGGGCCGCTAGGCACCATCAGGAGAAGTAGGGATCCCCTTCATCCAACCACTTGGCTGACTTTTGGCACCCTAAGATGCAACAGTAAAATGTTTCTGTATGTTTTTTGGCACGCTTGGCTGATGTTTTGCACTAGCTGTAAAAGTATTGATCTATATACATAGTTGCCTTTGTGACTGGAATGGGTCCCACAAAACTCCAATGACCATGACCACGCCCTGTGATTGAGAGAACCTCCTGACCACCACATCCCCTCATCCTTCCCTCCCTGTTGTGTCTCGGAGCCTGGTACACAACTTGGCACGGCCAGTTAGGCCAGAAAACATGGTTGGCACTAGGTCACAAGATTTCGTGGCAGGCGAAATAAGGATCATGTGCAGATTTCGTGGTGGCGGGAAGCTGTTCTCTCCCCCCAGCTCAGCACACAATCCGGCCACATTGCAGCGCACGACACTGGCCATTGCAAACAGCACGCACATTTGACAACGGGGCCAAGAAGCAAAGTACGGGACAAAGGACACCAAGGGACCAGCACAAAAAGTTCAACAGCAAGGCCAAGCAACGCAAAGCAAGTCAAGCAAAGGAGCAACGCAAGCAAAAACACAGAACAAAAAATGCAGTAAAAAAAGCAAAGAAACAGAATAACCAAAAAACACAGTAGAAAAAACACAGGCTGAAAATCAATAACAAAAAAAACATAGTATATAAAACATGATACAAGCATAGGCCACAAACAGGGTTAGTCACGGTTAGTCGGTAAGAATTGTTGTTCCCTGCCTCGCACAGCAGCGTAAAGAGCACGACAGCAGGAGGACATGAGGACAACAAAGGGCAAAAAAATGAAGGACAAGAGGAGGATAGCGGCCAGAGGACAACAGGACAAGAGGACGACACAGGGTTGGCCAGCGCGGCCAGAGGACAACGGCAGGACAAGAGGAGGACTAGAGGAGGACAAGACCCGACACAAAGCCTGGACACAGAGTTCAGGGCGCGGCCAGCCAGCGCGGCCAGCCCTTTTTTTAAAAGAGGGAACCCCAACAGTAAACTGTTTGGGGAATAAGCAGGCAAGAATATCGAGACGCAAAAAGCAAGAACAACAGCAAAAGCAGCTGTATATAAGCAAGAATATTTCTGGAAACGAACATTCGCTGCAAAAGCACATGACACCCATGTGAAAGAAAACAAGTTGTCATGATCAACCCATCAATCAACCCCTGTGCGGTGGGTTGATGAGCGGATGCCCCCTGACATGTGCTGCCGGTGAGGCGCGTGCATCGTATAGAGGTCCTCCGGTGAGGGCTCTGGCTCGCTGCGGGTGCTGTCTGAGGAGCCTCGAGACATGGTTGAAACGGTGCAGGTGTTCGACGCCGGTGTCGTAGAAAGAGCTCGCGGTCTGGTGGCCTGTGTCTGTGGAATGGTTGGGTATACCATGATACGGCTGTGCCGATGCCCTTTCAGTTCAAGATATCGAAACTTGCGAAGCAGTTCTAAATGCAAGACCGCCAGGGAGAAATAATGTATATAGTTGAGATTTGTTGTGTAAATAGGGCCGATGTAACATGTAAAGAAGCACCCCAAGTAGCAAAAGAAAGAATGGCCGATTTCTGTGTCATCACTTTTGCACAATTGCCAATGATCAATCCGCACGAGCGTGAGGTGTGAAACGAGTCCGGAAACATGGCCAAGCAGCAAGTTAACTTGCGACTGACTGACCAGAAGAATTAAACATATATTTATCAATCATTGACACCAAAGGTGCAGCTCCAAATGGAGGCCATCCCTGATTCGCCACACATCATAAAGGACCAGTTTGGACAAGCTGTGTTTTAATGTCTTTTACTTCTTGTCACAAAATCAGGGGGTCAAGATCGTTCTACCTGGCCTGGCCTATGACCAAAATAGGCCACCTATCTATCTGAGTCACACTGATTTTCAGACTCCTCTCTCCTCGAAGCGGTTGGACAAGATCGCTTGAGCCCAATCGCCAGGATCAAAGGCATGCTCCTCGCCTTGGAGAGAATGGAAGAGCGCGCGCCCATATATATCGGAACATGGTCCACGTCATCCACACCCACACAAAAACAATGCGATTTGGCGGTTTCTGATGCCATTCTTTGTGTGGGTCATATATGTGGTGGACGCTACGCTATGGGGGGGTCGCATGCTGGAACTGTCGCATTCATGCGGACATTCAAATAAAGAGCGCGCTCTGACATCCTCCAACATCAAATATATAATATATATATATATATAGTTATATATATAGAGTTATATATATATATCTACAGTAACTATATATATATATACGTGTATAGGCATGTATAGACCAGGGATCCCAGGCTGAATCTGAAGATCCCCGACAACTAAAGCACATCCAAAGTCACGGTCCTCAAGCCACTGCAAAGTGGCAGGGTAGGAAGGGTGTGCCTCTCTAGCCCAAGGGGGCGGCACCGCCAAGGAAGGGGGCAGTGAAGCTGCCTGACGTAGGTCCGACATCTGCCGAGAAGAGTATGTGTCAGAAGTGGGCTGCCCTAGGGCATAGGAAGTGGAGTGCCCGAGGGCATAGGAAGCTGGCTGCCCGATGCCAAAGGCTGTTTGCGGTCTTGGGGCATACGAACTGGGTTGGCTTCGGGCATAGGAACTCGGCTGCCTCAGGGCATCGCAGCCGGCTTAAAAGCAAATACACGCAAACGACGATTCCATACCTAATTCCCGTTAGCGCCAATTCTATCTCATGATCTGCAATCCCACCCAACTCTCTCCGACTTTTGTATTGTCACAGTCGAAGTCAGCGCAACTGTTTTTTATCCGCGGCCTGGCTGGATGGAAAGGTTCATAAAAAGCAGGCAGCCGCATTGGCATTTGCACTTGGTAGTCGGAAGGCAAGGAGTTCAGCCCACAGCCATATGAAGTGGAGTAGGATGCTGCGGCTCCTGCAGCAGCACTGCCACCTGACATCCATGCAAGCAAAGCTGAACTCAATGAAACCTTGCAACATTGCCATTTTGGCCATGTCAGCTCCTCGTTATTTTGTGAATACCTTCTTGGCCCGACAAACAAGTCATGTGACCATATACAGTATATATATATATACTACTGTCTAATGACTTAGGCCAACGTGATGCAAGTGACATACCAATCTGGCTACCCCCAGGGCTAAGTCATGTGCCCTGACATATCGAGCTAATAAAAAGGTCTGGGTTGGGAAACCTGGTGTCATAGGACCTGTGGACACCTCCTCGACAAAAAATGTAAAAACACAGCTAAATAATGCTAGATACCACTGCCTGGCACCCTGGTGACACAGTGGTGACATAGGGTGCGACTATGTGTTTTTGCGGGCGCTGTTTCCTTGAATACCTCATACATATTTCTATGAATATCATGGTTGTGGCCTGATGACATAGGCCTTAAGAGGAAATGCCAATGTTGGATCAATCTTGATGACATAGGCTTTTGGAATTGGCGCGTATGTCCGACAAGTCCTAAGTTACTAGTCAGTAGTATATATAGTAAATACATGTTTGCCTTGATTGTAATTGGCCAAATAATTGATGTCTGCAGCTGGTTTAGTACAGGTCTGGAGCAAATGTTCGTGTTTGCAGGCATCTGCGCCCAAAGATTGCCCGGACATGGGGCCCAAGGAAGGACAAAGGGTTGTGACGTTACTCCCGGCAGTGCTGCACTGAGAACGGTGGTGTATTTGCTGTGGTTGTTCCTGTCCATCTGTCCATACGGTTATATCATTGGGCCCCACCGGCCAGCCAACATAGCTGATTTCCAGCAGGGTTGGTCGCATGATGCCGGTGCACGAGTCAAATTCAACCCATCCATCTCAGGTAAATAGAGGATAATAGAAGCCATGTGCCTGCAAAATCCTCCTCGTGAAGCTTCTGCCATAGGCTGCACAAACCACCCTCCTGGCAGGTGCTGGTATGTTCCGCCCAGTGTGCTCCAGCGGTCCCAAAGCAACAAACAGCCCCATGAAAGGCTGGGGTTTGAATTTGTGTTGCAAAAAAAACTTACATACACACAACTTCTATCAACTTCTGGAAAAGGTGTGTGTGTGTGTGTGCCAACCCCTGTTCCAAAGGGTGCTACTTGATAAACAGGGGGACGGGACACCTCTGGCATTTCCCGCCCAACGAAGAGGATGCCAGCAGGTGCTGATGCAGTGGGGGACGCCCCACTGTGTACCTGCTCCATGAACTGTTGCTTACGCTGTCCAATCTTTCCTTTTTGGTTCCATGGTGGTGCATGCTACTTCCCCTAAACCCTTTCCTTTGCCGCTCGCGCGCGCTGCCGTCGCACCACTGCAGATGATAAACTTCAATGTTAAAACACCTTCAAGTCTTTGGACCTTTCACCGTGCCGTTCCATCGCCTTCCTTCTCATCGTGGGAATTGAGTAAACAGCAAACCAATGTCAGAGTGTGAGCCGCTCAGCCGTCCCACTTGGGTGCTGGGTGTGGTCCTCCGCAAGGAGGTGCCGTTTTCATACCGGAAATCAGTCAACGGATGTCTTACTGCACTTGGACTTCCACCGTTTCATAACTGAATTAACTGATCCAACAGCCGTCGGGCCGTCGGGCTTAAAAACGAATTTGACAGCCGCCGGGCTTAAAAGCGGTATTCACCCCACTTGAGGCAGGTCTCCCAGGTCTCCCAACCCCCCCCCCCCCCCC